AGCTGCACATCTTCTATTTCAGATGGAGTTTAAACCGCTTTGTTCCTCTTGGTTGTACATGTTTGTTCATGTGCCTGGAAGGGAAACCACACCAACTTGTGAAAATTAGCTGCTGTGCTATTTTTAATCTCAGGCTGTTTCCTGAACAGCATGTGCAAGACTGGATGCAGCAGAGCAGATTGTGCACAAACAAACAGCACAGTAGTTGTCTGACAGGGAGACTGGCATTCAAAACAGTCTATATTTAAAGCTTTAAGACAAAACAACTGCAGGACCTCTTTGTGCTGCAGGTTGGGATGATTTAATGATCCTAGTGATAAAAATTCATGTGTACAGTTAACTCCACCAAAGTTGTTCCAGTTTGGAATGATGAGTTTTGCTATTCCAGGAAGTCCAGTTGGGTAACTGAGAAGGTGGAGATTTACTCAAGGAGAAATTTGTGTCATTCTGAGGCCTTTGAGGTGTTGGCTTTGGCCCATATTCCTCTGGGTGAGATCTGTGCGTGGCCTGAGGCAAGAGGTGACAGTGGTGAATGTTCCTGCAAAGCTTGAGCTGAATGAGTGTGTTGAAGCAGTGCAGAATTGATGTGTTTTTGAAGTAACCTCACAGCATTCATATCCAAGGATTTTAGACCTATTAACTTGCCAAAAAATAGGCCTAATGCCTTGTTCCTCCTTAGATAGTCACATCTCTCTCCTCTAGGACGGAAGCTGCCAATGTGGAGAAGATAACCACGAAGCTCCTGAAGGCTGGAGCCAAACCAGACCAGATTGGCATCATCACCCCTTATGAAGGTCAACGATCCTACCTGGTGCAGTACATGCAGTTCAGTGGCTCCTTGCACACAAAGCTCTACCAGGTACAGAGGAAAACACTGAGATGCAGAAGGGTCAGAGATTGTAATGTTCACACAGTTTTCAGAGTCAATCTGGCTTTAGCCTTAGTTTGTGTTTATCCAGTTTGGAGCTCTTTAGTTGATGGTGGTTGAAATAGAGCAAGGAGAAGAGCTGGGGAGGATTCAGGTGCCAGTGCGTGTCAGGGGAGCAGTTGGGCAGGTGAAGGAGAAGCCTGCAAAGGTCTGTGCTGAAAGGAAGGCACAGAAGGGAGAGGTCTCTGGGGCTTCAGCTGTGGAAAAATTGTGCCTTAGAACAACCCTCCTGCCAGGAGAGGTGCAGGAACCCACGCTGATGCTCACACTGTTTGTTTATTTGCTTGGGAACATGTCTTATCCGTGGAACTCCTCTCCCAAACATAAAAATTGAGTTGCTACAAACAAAATAATTGTATGTTTAATGTGGTCTTGTTCTGCACTATTGAGCATTTGGTCAGTGTTGTCACTTGGTGGATATACTTTTACTTGTGCCAGGAATGATCTGTCCCTCTGAATGAGGATTCTGGGAGCAGCAGTGTTCATTTGGATCTCTAGTCAGAGCTCTTCTGGGCAACATCCCTACAAAGGGCTAATTTCCACAGTGCCAATGCCAGTTGGGGGAAACAGAGCCATAAAGCAGCTGAACATGAAAGTAATTTCTCCTAAACTGAGACTCTTCTGTTCCTTAGGGAAACTGTTTGGTGAGCAGTGGAATTACTAATTGATTCCTCATTCCAAAGCCAACATTTTTCTCCAGTGATGGGAAGGTTTAGTGCATGGCCAGCACCTTTGGTAATGCCTGTGGGTAGCAGAAGTGTTCTGCACCGTGCTTCTGTGATTTACATGTTTTCCCTCTGTTTCAGGAAGTGGAAATTGCAAGTGTGGATGCCTTCCAGGGCCGGGAGAAGGACTTTATTATCCTCTCATGTGTGAGGGCCAACGAACACCAGGGAATTGGCTTCCTGAATGACCCCAGGAGGCTTAATGTGGCTCTTACCAGAGCAAGGTAAAGTGACCTAGGCACGTGGAGGAAGGATGGAGAGGCTGTTTACAGGGGCCTGGAGGGACAGGACACAGGGAATGGCTTCCCACTGCCAGAGGACAGGGCTGGATGGGATATTGGGCAGGAATTCCTCCCTGGGAGGTGCTGAGGCACTGGCACAGGTTGCCCAGAGCAGCTGTGGCTGCTCCATCCCTGGGAGTGTTCCAGGCCAGGTTGGAACCATTTTGCTTCTCTCAATGCATTTTCTTCCTGGGAAGGCTGATGTGGGATCAACACTGCTGTTGGTTTCTGCAAGCTTTTCCACCAGCATGAGGTGGTGGGTGGTTGGTTGGATGCACAGACGTGTTGGGCAAGCCTGAAGAAGGAAGTTTGTGATGATTGAGCAACTGGCTGCAAGCAGTCTCCTTCTAGGTGTTTTGTCATTCTATGGAGATGATCTGCTGTAAACAAAGCCATTGCATCAGGGTCTTCTGCTGCCAAAGAGGTGGATTTGGAGGCTGTTCTGCCATCGGTGTTTATCATGATTAATGGTTATTTCTCTTCTGTTGTACAGGTATGGAGTAATTATTGTTGGGAACCCCAAAGCCCTGTCTAAGCAGCCACTCTGGAACCACCTCCTGAATTACTACAAGGAGCAGAAGGTGCTGGTGGAGGGACCACTGAACAACCTCCGGGAGAGCCTCATGCAGTTCAGCAAGCCCAGGAAACTTGTCAACACCATCAACCCAGTGAGTGGCCTCTGCTGGCTCTTTGTGGCATGGAGCAATTGGGGGTTGATTGATTAGTGCTAAATGGGTGGATAAACAGTCACCCACACAGCCTCACACCCTGAAACTTCCTGTGGCCTGGTTGATGCTGTAAGGAAGTGGCTGCTGAAGCTGTTAGTTCCAGTGCTTGCAGAAAAGCCTTTTGGAGGCTTTTTTATTGCTCTTTAACTGCAAAATTTTATCAGGGGGTAAATTATGAGGTGGATGAAATATCACCCTCCACAACTCCCTGACAGGAGGTTGGAGTCAGGAGGGGGTTGGTCTCTTCTCCCAGCAGGAGGACAAGAGGGCACAGACTCAAGCTGTGCCAGGGGAGGGTTAGGTTGGATCTTAGGAAGAGATTTTTTAGGGAGAGAGTGATCAGGCATTGGAATGTGCTGCCCAGGGAGGTGGTGGATTCACCATCCCTGGAGGTTTTCAAGGTGCGACTGGATGTGGCACTGAGAACTAGTTCATGTCCTGATCACTTTGTATGATCTGTGAGGGTTTGTTGGGTTTTTCCCCAAAATAACTTGCACTGAAGGGTTTTGTGTGCAGAGGCTTTGCCTGACCCCCCATCCTTGCAGGGTGCTCGTTTCATGACCACTGCCATGTATGATGCACGGGAGGCAATAATTCCAGGATCTGTCTACGACAGGAGCAGCCAAGGTAAAGGAACTTTTATGGGTCTGGTTTTTCTCCTCTAACTAGTCTTTGGGGTGTGATACCTCACACCCTTCACTCTTAAATGTGTTTGAAGAGCCACCACAGAAAAATAAGGAATTTAAGGACTGAAAATTTGTATGATCTGCCTGGATTTTGCTGTCTGTATATAGAATCCTACAGTCAGCTCGATGGCTGCAAAATGAGGGAAAAGGGAGTGTGTGAAGCATTTCAGGACTCTGAGGTGGTGCTGGGAGAGAGTAACTGTAGGAATGAACATGCAGATGAATTGATGGAATTTTCAAGTGTGGAATAAACAGTGCACCAGAAATACTGGTGGTTCTTGGAAAGGATGGAAAGGACCAGCCCAGCACTACCATTTCTGCTTCCTCCTCCTCCTGCTCCCATTGCTCTTAAAAGCAGGAAAATGAATTGCTGCTGAAATATTCAGGATGGCTGAGATCACTGTGGCTTTCCCTCCCTCCCCAGGGCGCCCATCCAACATGTACTTCCAAACCCACGACCAGATTGGGATGATCAGTGCTGGCCCCAGCCACGTCACTGCCATGAACATTCCCATCCCCTTCAACCTGGTGATGCCTCCAATGCCCCCACCAGGATACTTTGGCCAGGCCAACGGACCCGCTGCAGGTAGGGGCAGGGGCACGGGGGCACAGGCCACGTGGGAGGGCACTGGGAAGTTGTTTGCATGAGTTAAACTTCTCACTGTTGGTTGGGCTCCACACTTTGCAGGCCGAGGGGCTCCGAAGGGAAAGACTGGTCGTGGTGGGCGCCAGAAAAACCGATTTGGGATCCCTGGAACTAGTCAGTCAAACCTTCCAAATAGTCAAGCGAGCCAAGATGTGGTGTCCCAGCCTTTCTCCCAGGGTCCACTGACTCAGGGCTATATCTCCATGAGTCAACCATCACAGATGAGTCAGCCTGGGCTCTCCCAGCCAGAATTATCACAGGTAAGCACAGCTGGGTAGAGAATCTCAGCCTTCCCTGGGGTTTGTGCTGGTGTGTGTGCTCATCCTTGTTCCTGGCACTGAGGGAAATAAAACTGAAACATTTTCAGTGACTCAGCTGCAGCTTTTCATGCTCCTGCACTGTTGGACTCAGTGCACTGGGGCATGGGAGTGAAGTGCTGCAGGGACAGACTTGAGCTGGAGCTTTCTCTCTGAGCTGCCCAGCAGCCAACTCACACCCAGCTAACAAACCCCTTCACTGTGGAGCTTCTGCACCCAAAAGAGTAGACTTTAAACGAAAAACAAACCCTCAGACTTGATCACTAACCCAAGCCCCAGGAGCTGTGCTGGGTCAGGGAGCACCTGCTGCTGCCTCTGAGCCCTCACACCCCTTTCCCTTTCAGGACAGTTACCTTGGTGATGAGTTTAAATCCCAGATTGACGTGGCACTGTCCCAGGACTCAACTTACCAGGGTGAACGTGCATATCAACACGGTGGAGTGACGGGACTGTCACAGTATTAGAGTGTAAGCAGCTGAGGCTCACTCCTCCTCTTCCTCCCCTGATTCCAAACTCCTCAGCAGACATGTCCCTAATCATAGCTCACTCTGTTTTTTTCTCACAGGTTGAGGAAGAAGAGCTAAGCTTGTGTGGAGCTTAGTTCATCAGCATTTTATTCTGGGTAAAAAAAAAATAAAATAAAATGGATACCTGTTTTCCACTGCTAAAACTGAAGCACCACTGTGTGAGAGCAACAGGAGAAAGAGAAACCAACCAACGGAGAGGAGAGAGAGAGAAAGGAGCGCGCGAGAGAGCCACTGCTAGCTCACTGAGACAAGGAGCCTGACCGGAGAGGAGAGAGAGCTCTGAAGGACCTGCTGGCGCCTCGGGGAAGGCACCTCCCCCTGCACGGAGTGCTCAGCTGGGTCCTGCTCCCCCAGTCACCCCAGCTCCAGAGAAGGGCCTGAAGCAGGTTTCACTTCATTCCATACTTCTCTTGGCGAGCAGGGCATTACTTTTCAGAGCAGATGGGGAGAGGAAAACCCTCATCTCAGAGTTGTTCTCGTGTCTAAGGGGGACTGTATTTTAGCAGTAACTGTTTACAATTTAGAAGCAGAGTATCTAAGAGAGAGAGAGAGAGAGAGAGAGAGACAGAGTAGCTGACTCGGTGCCAGCGAGCCAAGCAGCAATCCAGGGGGACATAGCTGATGCTCAACTCTGAGATGCAGGTTTTGTTGTCCAACACTGGCTCTGAAATCCTAGTGTCATCGTGTCGCCCACATCCTGAACGGGTCTTTTCGTGCCGAGGTGGTTTAAAGAGATTCTTTCAAAGGAGCACTGAATTTTTGGAAGCAGTTTGTCTCTGAATCCTTTAGTGGTGGACCTGGGGAGATCCTTGTTCTGAGAAGCTTATACAAAAACAAAAGTTGCAAACCAAAACTAAAATTAGAGCACCAACCTTTGAGAACTTTGAGTGTGATTTCAAGTTGCAGCAATCAGCCTCTTCTTCCTACATCGGATAGCAGTTAGAGTGAGAGGAGCCTGCGCGCTCGAGCAGGAGGAGGGTTTCCAAGTGTTTTCTGTATGCTTTAATTGGCTACTGTCTGGACTCTACTCTGTGAAAAACAAGCCTTTCTGTAAGATGAACTTTGCGCTTGGAAAGGGGATTGGGTTCCTGTGCCCTTCGGCCCTGGAGATGCTACCAGGCCTGCTTGACTCGGCAGCTTTGGGCAAGAAGTAGTGGAACCTGGGGATTATTTTGGCTCGGAAGGACAGACTCGCCGTTCCCGGAGCAGGTGGGACACCAGGCCAGAGCAGGCAGGTGGTGGAAGGTGGTGGCCTCTGAGAGCTGGGTTGGCTAGAGAGCATGGGGCAGGCTTTGTGTGGCTTCCTGGGTGATGAATGCAGGTTGCTGACAGATTCAGGTGTTGCAAACCAAACCCGGAGCTGAGTTTGTTTCAGGGAGTCGCCACGGCTGGGACAGCTGTGCTGGCTGGAGAACTAGCTGGAAAGTCAGAACTGAAAACAGCACATAAGAGAAGCCATCCAATTTCTAAGTTGTACCCATGTCTTACCAAGTCATAGGGGAACACTGGGAGCATTTCATTTCTGTCTAAACCTTTGTAGAAGCAAACAGCGCCGAGAGCTGATGATTCCTACTGACACGTTCCTATCAGGTCCCTAAATTAGACTAACCTCTACCTCCTAATTGGCTAAGAACAGTAGAGTGTGATCCACTAACCTGGGTGTTTTTCAAGTTGGAGTTAAGTTTAGCTTTATACTCAAAGGGCTCCAAGTGTTTCTAGTCTTTTTTTTGGGGGAACTCAAAAATACCTCTCATATGAATGTACTCAGACAACATAACACCCCATGTTTTGTAGCTGGGGGGAAGCCCTTTCATCCCTGTCCTTTCTGTAGATTGTTGAACTGCTTTCATGCCCTGTATTTGCTGTAGTTTCCCCAGAGTAGACCTGGTGTAGCACCCCCACAGCCCCCAAGGGACTGTGCACATCACCCTGGGCCAGGTGGTCACCCTTTGTGTTGGGTCCCACAGCAGCCAACCCAAGTTGGGAGAACTGCAAAAAAAATAAAAATAATAAAACCCAAGAAACTTAACCAGAAATGACAAACCCATTCTTTTCTCATCCAAAAAAAATAAAAAAAAAAAAATTTAAAAAAAAGAAGCCTCCAGAGTTTAGACTTCTAAAACGTGAAAGAATGGAGACACAGGCCACCTTCCTTCCTTGTGGGATGGACTGTTTATTTATTAACATTGCCGAAGGGCTTTTTAATTTCTTTTCCTTCTGTAGGCTGAGTAGTGGCATAGACTTTTCCCATAGGTTTGAGCTGGACCCCTCTGTGCAATGCCATTGAGTAATGTAGCCCCTCCTCTGCCCTCCCCCTTTATTTCACTGCTGGGAATGCTTTGCCTCTGCTTTGTGCTGATTTTTTCCTTTGTAGCAGTTAACTACTCTGAGTTTTACAAATCCAGACACATCAGTGCTAGCACGGTGTTATTTCTCTTTTGATTTTGTCTCAAGTTTGTTTTAAACCTGTTTGTCATCAATAAAAGTACTGAATAAAAACAGCTCTTGCATTCAAGGTGGCCCTTAACTTTGCCATGAGGAAACCATGCAATGGTCATTAAAGCTTAGTCTGATTGTATAAACTTCAAGTTTATTACTTGGTTTTTTTTAAACACAGACTAGTACAAAAAGTGGGGGGAGATGTGCATAGCATTGGGGTGAGCAACTCAACGGGGACAAAACTCCCTGCCCTGACCCTCTTCCCTGCTCCCAGCCCTGGAGTCTGGGCAGGGTGGGAGCCACAGGCCTGGGGACAGGCTGGAAATTCAGAGGAAATCCAGCCTGGAACTTCTCCCTCCTGCAGTAAACATGGAAATGGCTTTTACCTGTGGTACAGGTGTGGGGGGCTCAGCAGAGCTGGTCCTGGGACCACCCAGTGCCTACTGGAACACAGTTTGGGGGTTCAGACCTGGCTTGGCACCACCCTGTGCATAAACTCCTTGTAGCTACTCCAGGGTGATTCCATAACCTGGTCCTGCTCTGCCTCTCCTCCTCCTCACAGGTGAACAGTTGTCCTGGGTAGTGTGGAGAACCAGGCTGAGGAGTCACCTCCTGCCTCCAGGCCCTTCCTCTGCCACAGCACAGGTACCAACCCACTAATACTTGAAGGTTTTCTTACTCCTGCTCATCTTAAATCTGAACTAAATGGAGTTAAGCTTCTCTCTAAGCCCTTAAAAACATACTTAAGTGCTTGAAATGGGTTTCACATGGCTCCTGCTGGAGCTGCCAGGAAACACCTGGGGGTGAAATCATTAGTACACTAGGCCTAAAGTACTTGAGCTGCTCCAGTCTTGGTCTTCAGCTAGACCTTTTGGGGTGTTGTTAGCCAAAACACCAGCCCAGGGGACCCACAGTGGTTAAACCCTCAGTGCTTCCCACAGGGGTGATAAAACTTCATCAGACCGTGAGGACAACACAACATTGGTACAAAAAGAGCAAAGAAAATAAATCTAGGCTATGGGGGCAGGTTCACAGTTAAAAAAAAAAGGAGAAAAAAATTCAAGTCTTAACTCAGCTTCTTCTTCTGTTCCAAAAAGGTGACACCCCCCCTCAGTTTGAGCTCCCACAGCAAGAGGGAAAGCCACACACCTCTCACCAGGCTCTGGGAAGGGATTCAGTCACACATGATTCCTCTTCCTGCAGCAGGACCATGTCACCTTCTCCCCTCACACCACAGCATCATCCTGCACCCAGGGAACCACCAGCACCACCTCACCCCTAAAGTCATTTCACCCAGGGAACCACCAGCATCATCTCACCCCTAAAGTTATTTCATCCAGGGAACCACCAGCATCATCTCACCCCTAAAGTCATTTCACCCAAGGGAACCACCAGCATCACTTCACCCCTACAAGTCATTTCACCCAGGGAACCACCAGCATCACCTCACCCCAAAAAGTCATTTATGCACTGAAAAAAGCTGCAACATTGACCCAAACAGCCCAAAGCACAAGCCCTGAGAGTGCCTTGCTGGCCCCACCAGCAGCTCAAGGAAGGGTCTGGGATTCACAGCCTGGTGCCACCATCACCCATGGGGAAGGGGACGGACACCCACCACCAGGCTTGATCATAATCCCATGCCAAGCTGCTGGAGGACTGGGATTAAATCACAGCAACCACACTCAACCACCACCAGGAAAGGCCCTGAACACCTGGGATTGAACACACTTGGGTTTATTCCAGCCCTGGCTGAGCCCACACTGCTCTACCTGCAGCCACACTCGTCCACCACCATGTCCGCGTAGTGCCGCAGCACCACGTTGTCACTGTTGTCATAGTAGAGGATGGAGATGGGGGAGAGCCTGACAGGGACACAGCAGGGCTGGGGGGTGCCCTGGGGGTCCAGGGAGTGCACCATGGTCTGCAGGATGGCGTGGTTGGTGCTGTTGAGCTCGGCAGTGAGCGGGAAGGGACACTCCCCCAGGCAGTAGTTGGCCAGGTAACCCTGCGGGGCGATGATCCAGTTCTCCCAGCCCACGTCACTGAAGCTGATGTAGAGCCTCCGTGGCCTGCAGAGGTTGCTCAGGGTGATGGGAGGGTGCTGAGCACTCCTCCTCCTCCTCCTGGAGACCTGGCACTGCTGGCTGAGGGTCACCACCAGCAGGGAGGTGTCGAGGAAGGAGTCGATGCTGGTGCACAGTCCCTGCAGCTCATTCACCTCATCACCACCACTCACTGCCACCTCCAGGACCAGGCCTAGATTCCTGTTGTGCATTCTCCAGTCCCTTGCCACCATGCTCAGGTTGAAGAGGAGAGACTTGTGCAGCTGGGCAAAGGATTGCTCCACCAGCAGCTTCTGCCTGGGCTCAGGCATCCCCTGCAGAGACACCTGGGAGGGCTGGGAGAGCCTCAGCTCAAAAATCTGCCCCTGGCTGGAGGTGTGGTAGGAGTTGTGGTGGAATTTGATCTCCAGCTGAGCCATGGTCACGTTTTCATCCTCCTCCAGCATGGAGAGGTTGAAGTAGAGACGTTTCCTCAGGCACAGCTGCCCCTGGGGCTGCCCCTTGGGAATGAAGTGGCCTGACAAAGAAGGAGAAACAGAGGTGGTGGTGGCTGAACCCTCAGGCTGAGCAGGATCAGCTTTCCCAGGGCTCCAATTGAAGCTCTTGGCTGTCCAGCAAGAGAAGATGGAGCTGGCAGAGCTGGGTGGACACAAGTCTGCAGTGAGGGCTACCAGCCCAATGGCACAGCCTGCAGGGAGGTCTGGGGCTGCCAGTGCTGTCCTTGGCTCCAGTCTGCAGCCGTGGGAGGGGATGCTAATTCCAGCATCTTCACCTACTTCACCTCTTGGTGTGCTGGTTTTCCCCAGTTGTAACTGTCTCCCCCAGGACAGGGAGGGGTTGTGGCTACCACCTCTGTATATTGTGGTGCTGTTTGGGGTGGAGGGCAAAGAGCAGCAAATCTGGGGGAGCTGCTTGGTTTATCCAGCCCTTGGTTCTCACTGGAGCCACAAGAGAAGGGAGCAGCATCTTCACCTACTTCACCTCTTGGTGTGCTGGTTTTCCCCAGTTGTAACTGTCTCCCCCAGGACAGGGAGGGGTTGTGGCTACCACCTCTGTATATTGTGGTGCTGTTTGGGGTGGAGGGCAAAGAGCAGCAAATCTGGGGGAGCTGCTTGGTTTATCCAGCCCTTGGTTCTCACTGGAGCCACAAGAGAAGGGAGCTCCATGGTGCCTTGAGACCCCAAGGACACCAACCAGCTAGTTCCCAGTGAGCTGAGAACAGCTCAGAGGGGCTGAGCAGGCAGATGTGCCATGCCATCAACCAGGGGCATGGGGACAAGGAGCAGTGGGGACATAGCCTGAGCACCCTGTCCCTGCCCTGGGAGCTGCTCCCACTGCTGTACCCACAGCCCCAGGGAGGGTTGGAGCCACATTATCACTGCCCAGGGCAGGAGTCACCTCCACCACTGTGAGCCCAAGGGGCAAAGCCACTGACCTGGGCTCACTCTGGATGGTTTTAGGGAGCTCCAGGACACAGCCTGACACAGCTGCACACCCTCACCCACTGCCCCAGCTACCAACTCACTCCCAAACAAAAAACAACCTTCTCCAGAGGGACTGGAGCTCACAGAGCAGAGATTTCTCCTGCAGACCAACCCTGGGCAGGCCAGAGGAAGAAATAGAGCAAAGCCTCCCAGCCCAGAGCATTCCCAAAGCCTCAAACTGTACCTTGGTCGGTGAAGACACGGATGATGTCCCCAGGGACATCGAACTCCTCCACCCTACAGGCATCCACAGGCTCTTTGTTCATCGAGGGCTGAGTCTTTCTCCTCTGGAAGATCCTCCAGAGCACAGGAGGCACAGGGATGGGAGTTTTGGGGCTGGGCTTGGCGCTCAGACCCAAGGACTTCAACAGCAAACTCTCCTGCAAACTCAGCTCCAGGGCCAGGGCTGAGCTGAGGAGAGCCCAGGCCAGGCCAGGGAGAAGCCACATTGCTCCTCTCTCCTTCCCCAGACAAAGAGCTGAGGACTTGAAGATGGAGCCAGGGGGTGTTGATTCCCTGATTGGAGCCTTTGATCTGTTAGTGCTCAATTAGCACAGAGGGATTGGGGATTGGGCAGAGAGTGTGAGTCCCTCCAGGCTCCCCAGGAGCTGTTAACCCTTTGAGGCATGAGGAGCTTGGAGTTTATCATCATGGCAGGAACTTGGAGCTCCCACAGTCTCTCCCACATCTCCACACCATCGAGGTCCAGCAGCAGTGTCCATGGTGGCAGGGGTGAGGCTGCTCTTCCCACACAAAGCTGTTAGCAAGTCAATCTCTGCTCCCATCCACTGCAGATCCAGGCATGGACACAGAGCCAAGTCTCCTCCCTCCTCCCAAATCAGCTTTGTTTTAACTCAATCACAGCATCCAACACTTCTCTCTCAAGGCCATCAACATCCAGCACATCAAATCATCCAACTCCTGCTTCCCACAGGACACACAGCCCCAGGGCCAGCACCAAAAGCCATCAGCACCCACCCAGCACCCATCCTGGCACAGGGAGCCCCACAGCCCCCCGGGCACACAGTCCCTTCCTGGCCATCACAGCAGAGCTGCTGGCAGCACTTCCCCCCAGACCTGGCCAAGGACTCACTGCCAACACCAAAATGCAGTTTAGCCACCCACATGGTGACCAGGTACTGTGATCACCCCAACCCAGCACTGCTGCTGCCCCAGCTCTACTCCAGCCCACCCTGGGGTCTCAGTTCCCTTCATTTCCTCCAAATCCTACAGGGAGCCAAGGAATTCCAGCCCTGATGCACCTCTGACACATTGCTGGGTGATGGTGAGGGAGAAGGTGACAGGTCCTGCCACAGCCTGGGACAGTTTCCATCAGCCCAAGTCAGGAACTTGTGGCTCACACAGAGCCTGGGGGTGAATCAACAAAGCAAGAAAAAATCCAACCTGGAATTGATGCTCTGAATCCCTCACTCCACTGCCCGTTGTCCCAGAGGAGAGGGAGCTCCACTCCCCAGGGAGGACGTGGGACCTGTGTGTCCTGGCCCTGAGAGAGGACAACAGTGGGACAGCTTGGTCTGAGGGGCTAAAATCCACAGGACTTCCCAGGTCAGAGACCCCCAGCCCTGTCTGGGGACTCTGCAAGGGCTGGAGCTGCCTGGAAAACCACCACAGGGAGCAGGAACTCTTTGTTCTTCACTTGAGCAAGCAGATAGTGCTGGGGGAGAGTCCAGTGAGCCCTCAGCAGGGACTTGCAGGGCTGGGACTGCCTTTTTAAGCAACTCTAAGACCTACACAGGCTTTTTTTAAGCAAATTAAACCTCCTGACCCAGATCTGGAGGGACAGAAGGCTGGAATAATCCTCCAGGGCTGGGTTTCCAGGCAGACCTGCTGATGGGAACTGAGTCCCAGTGACCCCTCCTGAGGAGGAAGGCTCCAAGGTGCACTTCATCACCCCAACAGTCCCTGCTTGGCAGCTGGAGCAGAGCTGGCTTTGGGTGAGGCCAGGATGGTGATGCCAGTGGAGGAGAGGATGTTTCCCTCCTCAGTTTGATGCTAGACCCTTCAAGAACTGCTGAGGAAGGGTCGGTGGAAGGGTCAAGACAGGGGAAATCACAACAGGACTGAGAACAGCCAAGGGATGGAGTGACAGGAGAAACACCAGGGGACCTAAAGCCAGCTCCAAATCCTACCTGGACCAGCAAAACCACCTCCCAACTGCCCCAGCACGGGCTGGCCACAAAAATCACACCAGCAGCAGGAGAAGCCTGGTCACAGTCCCAGGAGGAGCCTCATCCTGTCAGTGGTGTCTCCTCCCCAGCTCCAGGCAGGGGATGGAAGGGGATCAGGGGTGAAGTTCTCCTTGTGCCTTTCCTTTGCTGGGTTGGAGTGCAGGGTCCTGGTGAGTTCCCAGGCTGTGCTGGCTGCAGCCACACTGCTCTCATAACCTCTTGTCCTTCACAACTCCATTCTTCAGGTGCAGCCTGGGGAAGAGCAGAGCACATAGTGAGCTTGGGCTCCACACTGACTCCCCCTCCCTCCCTTCCACCACTGGGCTCAGACCCATCCCAACCAGCAGATGTTCATCAGAGTGAGGATGAGGAGCAAAGCATTGAGGAAGAAGTGGGAGGGGATGTTGGGAACCACCTGGAGACTGGAGTAACAGGTGGCATAGAGCACCTTGAGGGGGAACCAGTAGAGACCCAAACTATTCCATGACTCCACATGTCTCACCCTCCCTGCCCACATACCCTTCTTTGAGAGCACTGGGCAGTTGCAGTGCAGCCTCTTTCTTCTTGGCCACTGTGGTTTTCTTGCTGTCCTCCACGTCGTACTCACGCACGTCGTTCACCTCCTGCATCTGCCCCATCAGCACCTTGGCCACAAACAGGACGATGTACTGCAGGGAGAGACACCATCAGACACCTCCACCCAACCAGCTCAGCCCCACGTGCTGAGTGAGACCTTCCCCCACATCTCCAGCCCCAGTCTGGGCTGGTCACAGCCCTGGGATGTGGTTGATGACCCACAGCACTGGGAGGCAAAATTCCTGCAATTCCCCTTCCCTGATTTCATCCCAAGGGAGGATGATGATGATGAAATCAGTTGCTCCCTTACTCTGCTCAGGGTTGAGCTTGATGTGATCCCTCCACATCCATCCTTTCCACCCCCTCCCCAAAACTCTGGGTGATGCCAGAACATTCACACCCCTATCAAATTCCAGCCAGTCCCAACTGCTGTTATTGCTCCCTCCCCATGGATCCCCAGGGTGTGAGATAGTCTGAATTCCAAGAGGAGCCCCCCAGGCACTGACATTTCCTTCCCTCCTCCTTCCAAATCCTCCTCCATCCCCCCTGGACAGGCAGTGAGCACCGTGCAGGAGCAGCAGAGGAGGGAGAAGCAAGGGCAGGGGTGGCCAAACTCCCCTCACTCACCAGGAACCAGTAGATGTTCATCAGAGTGAGGATGAGGAGCAAAGCATTGAAGAAAAAGTAGAAGGGGATGTTGGGAACCACCTGGAGACTGGAGTAGCAGGTGGCATAGAGCACCTTGAGGGGGAACCAGTAGAGACGGAACCAGAACCTGCCAGGGCAGAGGAGCAGAGTGGGTTTAGTGGCCTCCAGGAGAGGAGAGACCCAGCACAGCCTACCCAGCACAGCCTCCTGCTCCAGGCAGCCCTGCCCAGCTCCCCCTGCTCCTGGCACCTGGTTTGGGATTAGCCTGGCTCCAGGCAGGGCACTGGGAAAGGGCAGTGAGGGAAGGGAGAATATCATTCCTCTGCAGAGGGAGAGCAGAGAGCCAAATCCACACTGCAGGTTATCCCAGCTGGATGGGGGACAGGAGGCAGAAACAGCTGGAAGGTTTTCCTCATCCTGTGCACCCACAGTTTATCACCAAACACCTTTGTTGTCCTCCTTCCCTAAAACTGAGCCTCTCATCCCCCTGCTCTTTGGAGCAGCCCATGGAGAAGGAGGCAGGAGCAAAGGGATGAGGAGTGACAACCTGCACATTACTCCTCTCCATCCTTCATCCCTTTGTTTTCCTGCTGCCTGGCCCCAAGAGGAGCAGCAAGGCTGGAATCTGGGACAGCTCAGCCTCCCCTTTCCTTCATGTGAAAATGCCTCTTGCTACAGAACCCAAACGAGTGGGAAAATGGCAACAGCTCCTCCTCCCCTGGGGTCATTTGTCACGCTGCAGGCACAGATTTCACAGGCATTTGTGTGGTGCCAGACAGCACAGTGACTACAGAAGGATTCCAAGCCCAGCATGGGGCCAAGCTCTGCGGGAACCTCTTCCCAACCCGAGCTTGAAAGGCCTTTTTCTCATCACACCAACCCCCAGGGGCTGGGAGGGCCACAAAAGCTTGGCAGGAGGGTTGGGGGTGGGCTCAGGGCCACAAACCCACCAGCTGATGCTGAAGGTGAGGCAGCCAATGTTGGAGATGACATCGTTGAGGCGATGATAAACTCCCCCTCGGTGCTTGAAGTAGACGTTGAGCTTGGTGAACTCCAACTGCACATCGTTGACATCGTGCAGGAAGAGCACCAGGATGCCCACGTTGTGGTACCTGCAGGGGGAAGGGGAGCAGGGAGGGAGGTGTCCAGGGGGGTGGGTGGATGTTGGCACTCAGCATCCACAGCCCAATCACACACAGACTCTATGAGTAACCCAGACATGGCACAGCCACATGGCCCTGGCACTGGGCAAGGGGCTCAGGGGCACTGGGAGTGCTTGGCAGTGTGGTGGGAGAGTCCTCACCAACACAGCAAGAGTCCTCCTGCTCCATCTGAAGCTGCTCAAGGCTGACCTGGGCGTGTGGCATGAGAAGTTTGTGTGGGCACCTCAGAGCAACCTGCCAGGACCTCAAGGGGCTCCAGGAAAGCTGCAGAGAGACTCTTGGGTAGGAACTGACCAGACAAGGAGTGACAGGGTTAAACTGAAAATTTAGATTGGATATTAGGAATAAGTTTTATTTCCTGTGAGGGTGGTGAGACACTGGCACAGGTTGCTCAGGGAGGTTGTGGATGCCCCAGGAAGGTTGTGGATGCCCCAAGGAGGCTGTGGATGCCCCAAGCCCCAACCCTGTCACTGTCCATTCCAGGTTGGATGAAGCCTTGAGCAACCTGCTCTGGTGGGAGGTGTCCCTGTCCAGGGCAGGGGGCTGGGGCTGGATGATCTCTAAGCTCCATCCCAACCCCTTCACCTCCTCTGTCACCCAGAGGGGCTGTGGCACAGCCAGGGGCCTCACCTGAAGGCGTAGGAGAAGGCTATGAGGGTGAGTGTGACCACATGGTGCAGTAGCATGACCACGGAGTCCTTGCGCCACGTGTCCATGTAGGCCGTGGCGTAGATGGAGTGTCCATAGAAGCTGCACTGTAACAGGTAGGCAATGGCAATGTCTGTGGGCACATCCATGCCCTTCTTCCAGTCTGCAATGGGACAGAAACACCCAGGTGAACCCACAGCCTCCAGCAGCAGCCCCAGGGCACTTTGCTGGGTTCAGGAGCTCCAGCTCCTTCTCAGTTTATCACAGATGCACAGGCTGATTGGGAACATAGGTAATCCTGGCTCCCAACTCTGCCTTGGGCAGCAAACCCTCTCCCAGATCTGAGAGAGATCTCAGAGGACAACAAATCAAGGTAATCCTGGCTCCCAATGCTGCCTTCAGCAGCAAACCCTCTCCTAAATCTAACAGCAATCTAAGAGCACACCAAATCAAGGTGTCTCTGATTTGGGGTCCCTGTCCATGGCAAGGGATTGGAAGGAGATGATCTTTAAGGTCCTTTCCAACCCAAACCATTCTATGACTCAATTCACTCCTGATTTATCTCCTCAACCCACTCCAGCCCCTCCTGTAGCCACTAGGTGACTCTCTCTGTAACGAAATGCTCTGAGACAACTCCTTGTGCCCTTTCTGCACCCACAGCATCACAGAAAAGGCAATTTAGGGCTTGTCTTCTCTTTCTCTCAGCCCAACTCCCATTCCCTTGGCCAGCCCAGACATCCTAGCCCACCCCTGGGTCTTACTGTACCATAAAAGACAGATGGGGGGTCGTAGAAGAAAGGGTAGTCAGTGAAGAAGAGCAGGTAGATGCCATAGGACCAGGATAAGGTGTAGAAAAGCAGCTTCCAGGCACTCTCAGGCATCTTGGCAGCATCTTTGGGCTGCAGGTTGCACCATTCCCCGAAGGGCTGCAAGGAGAGAGGGAAATATTGTCACAGAGGGCAAGGAGAGGCCCTGGGGAGCTTCAGGGCACAGATCACTGACTCTCCAAGAGATTTGAGCCCTGTGTGTGCTACCAGATAGGCCAGAGCCAGGTCATGAACCTCATCTTTCTCACCTTTACAG